AATGCTTTTTTTTCCAGTCTTTTTTTCCCTCAGTTTTTTTCCAGAACTGCCTCCACTTATTGAGAAACGTTTATCATTAAGACACAAAAACAGATGCGCTGCGCTCAGTCCAGCTTTGTGGATCAGTGTGGTGATAGATGCATGAATCCTGTGTTCAGGCTGGGAATGCTACAGAGGAAGGTGATGCAGCTGCTGTCACACAGCCTCGTGTCATTCTGCCATGAGGTTCTGCCAGCAGGTTCACAAATGGAGCCCACTCAGCCCCACACAGGAACCAGGCTGAAGGAAGTCACTGACGTGCAACTGCATTGAGACAAATCTGCTGCAACAGGAGACAGAGCGGAATGAGAGCACAGAACTGGGTTTGGAAAATTGAGTGGAAGCTGTCGTGCTGCTCTGGGACAGCAAAAAGCTCCTTTGTTCAAATGTCTTCCTTAAAAACCAGCTTATTTGTGCTGCCTCTAGGATGGCACGTACAGCCCTACCCAAAAACTCAGCGTTAGGGAGGCTCAAAGCTGCACCAGACAAGTCAGTCTGCAGGGTAATTACAGTGAGCATCCCAATTGGCTTGCACCAGCACTTCTAATGCAATCATTGCCCAACTTTCCCTGCTCCAGAAACAAAGAAGCCAATGATATTTAACAGCTTTTGGGAAACTGGTGACACAATGGTGCTCGAGCTCTTTCAGTTAATCACAGCGTGGAAACGTTTTAACCTAGATTCCTCACTCCTGCCTTGCATTATATCTTCCACTTCAATAGACAAAGCACTGCAGCCTTCTATTACTACTGCACAGCAAGCATGCAGCCAAACTGCACCTTTTTCAGTGCTTCTAGCCAAACAGCCCAAACCAGGCTGATGGTTAGTGTGGATTTGCTTTTCATAGCAGATCTATTTGGCTTTTTCCAGAACTGCTACAAAGCAAAGAAAATCATTCATTACCAAGCTTTGCTTCAGCTAAAATCTGTATTAAAATTAAGAAAATAAAGCAACAAGAACAGAGCATTCTGCTTTGACATGAAGACAAAATAAGTTCAATTTAGAGGCGAGTGGAGCAATTAAGAAAGTTCTTACTGGGCTCAACTACAGCAGAGCTCAGCAGTTCTGAGGCACCAGGCATGGAGGCTGAGCACGGCTCCCTCCTGCTGTGCCCAGCCTCCCTGGGAAGGAGGAAGGAATTGGTGAATTAGCTGTTTCTCTTACAGTCTCTCTCTTTGCTCTGTGTGATGGAAATGCAGAGAACAGCTGGAGCAGCCGCTCCCAAGCATCTGTGCAACTCCCTGCAATGGGAGGTGAAGGTGGGGTGGAAGGGGTGGCCATGGCAGCACTCTGGGTCTGAGCCAACGCTGGAGATGCTCCAAAACCCCCCAGTGACACGAGCAGCACAACACAGAGCACAGATGGTCCACAGGGCAGAGCAGGATGTAACAAAGAACGGGAAACTACAGCCAGGTAGAATGCTGGGAGCATCTCTCACAAAATACTTTAAGGAAGATCCCTGTAATGGGCCTCAGCATCTCATTACGCTGACTGCTTGCACACAGCAGTGCTGAGCACTTGTGAACAACATCAGTAGGAAGAGGGAGAAACGGTGAAGAAGTCACTCCCTCTGTTAAGAGTTCAACTGTGCTACCAACAAAGTTTGAAGGCGGTTTCCTGGTGATTATTCTCTACAGAATGTGGCTGTTTCTGCCCCTCAAAAACACAGGAAATTTGATATAGCTTGGTAGAAAAATGAAATGCAATAGTAGCAATAGAGACATTTAATACCTCAGAGTGCTTCACATGGACGAAGTCCCTGGAGTCACTCAAGGCCAGGCTGGATGTGGCTCTGGGCAGCCTGGTCTGGTGGTTGGCAGCCCTGCACACAGCAGGGGGTTTGAAACTAGATGATTACTGTGGTCCTTTTCAATCCAAGCCATTCTATGGTTCTATGAAAGTCCCCCACGACCACTGATTTACCCCCAACATCTCCACCAGCCAGGTATGTATTATTTATAGCACAATGACACAACTGCTGCAAATCCCCCTATTCCTACTGCTCGCTTCTCCCGTTCCTCTTCTGCATGCAGAATGCAAACACCCTGCTGTGATTTGCTCACTCTCCTCCCACCGTGCCACCCACCCTCGCTGTGTTCACACAGCACAGCTCTGTGCACAGCCCCTCAGCTCACCCCATACCCCAGGGGGCTGCACACCTCCTTCCTGGCTGGGCTGAGGGCCTGCAGGGCAGAGCTCACCACAAACAGAGCCAGCTGGTGATGAAATCAGCCCGTGCCATCTGCACCAGCACAGCCACCAGCAGCGCTCCTCTTGGAAATGGGCAAATGCCTGATTTTTGAGCTAAGCAGCAAGGCAGTAATCACAGCAACCCAACAAAGGCAGGACCAAGCTCCAGCAAGAGCTGATGAGCACAGTTTCCTTCCCTATTCCCTGACAACTCAGCACTAACAGGGCAAACATTCTCACTTGCATACACACGCAGCACTGCAAATTTAATCAAACGCATTACTCCCTTCTTTGCTGACTTTGGGCACAGCTCATCAATAACTGCAGAACTTCTCAGGGCGCACATCGAGCCCACAGGACTCCATCCACTGAGGCAGCACTTTTCAGAGCAGTTTATAAACTGCTCAGCTACGTCTATTCATCAAAACTCTTGTTTCCTTTAGATGGAAAACATTACAAGAAAAAGAATGACTTGTTTACTTCCTTGCCAAAAGCATACAGACACATTTACTGCACTGCACAGTCCCAAGGAAACCAATATTGGAAAAATCAACTAGAGATGCTGTGAGATTTGATGTTTCTTTAAGCAGCTGCCTTGCCAAAAGAGCCGAGGTATGAAGTGAAAAACAGTAGCAGGACATCAGTACGCAACAAGAACTGCCTTCCTGCCTCTTTTTAATTAACAGGCGTTAAAATCTTTATTACAATTTTTATTACAGTTTCCAGCACTGTTGCTTCTCTCTCCACAGGTAGGAAAACCAACCCACAAACCATGGGTACAGAACTCAGACTGCAAGGTGAAACACTCTTTATGCCTCTCACCCCCCCAGGAACGCTGAGACAAACCCACCTCCCTGCTAAACCCAGAGCTATGGGAGGAACCAGCAGCGCAGTGCCCGTGCCAGCAGCACTGACACAGCAGCAGCACCAGCCTGGGGAAGGGAATCCAAATGGATGCCCAATGCCCACAGCTTAATGGAGAGCAGTTTGTGTGCTACACCAAGGGCCCAGAGTGCTTCTGCTGCTCTCATTCCCTTGCTGCTTAATGTACGTTGGATCCTTTTACTCATCAGACTTTTGTACTCACTGATTATTATTTTTTTTACTTCCCCTCTTATTATCTACATATGGAGAAGGCAGACTTCTCCTTCCTTCTCAGTCCTTCCAGAAAGGATGATGTTTGATATGGGGCTGAAAAGTCAAAAGGCAGATTTAGGCACAAAGCAGAGATCCAACATCTGCCCCGAGGCTCATGCAAAGAAGAGCTTTTGGCACCTCTGACCCCCACACTACTTGAGATCAGACATTAAGCAGGGTCACAACCAAGTGTGTACTCCACTACTCAACAGGAATACATCACTGCTGTGGCACTGTCACCACTCTGCAGCTCACAGTAATACCTTGCACACTGTGTGTTCCCATCTCCATTTTCAAGCTCTTTTCCCAAGTTTCACAACTTCACCAAAAATACATCTCAACTCTCACTGCTGCCCCTTCATGACAATCTACATGCAGTGCCTATTTCTACCAGTTAGCCAAGCACCATCATTCACTGCACTGCAAACACCTCAAAACACACACAGCCTTCACTCACTCCCTCTGCCAGCACGTATATCTAAGCTTACAGAGCCTCAATTCAGGAGTTCTGTGCATCTTGCAGGCTTTGATTTCCTGCCAAAGCTGCCTTCTCCTTCTACTCCAGACTTCTTCACACTCCTTTGAGTTATCTCTGCTGTGCAGAACTGCTCCATGATTAGTTTGAGCTCCGTTTCCTAAACATCCCCAACTTGTATTAAACTGTTTTCTGTTTTTCTTTCAGCCTTGATTGATACCTTCATATTATCACCTAGAAGATGGCTGAAATGTTTCTAAAATTGCTTATTTTTCACGTGTTTTTGTCCTTGAAGCACACAGAGAGCTTGGTATGTTTGAAGAGATCAAAGCAATGGACGCCTCACAGAGCTCCGGTTTCAGTGTCTGAAAACATCTTTCAGGTAATGTTTGCAGAACTTCAAGCTTTCCTCTCTTCAAAACAGAGCAGAGGATCCTCAGCTTTTCAGAAGTGGATTTTACAACTCCAGAAATATTTCATCTGTAGCTCTATCTAAACTACTTAATGAAGTATTCACTCCAAAAAAATAATTCAAAATAGAAATCCCAACACGGGGAAGGAACCCGGTTTACCTTAAGGAATCAATGTCAGATAATTTAAGCATGACGTTCCAGGTGATGTTCAACCCCAAAATATGAAGCCTCCTTTTTTTTGTGTGCGTGTGGAAACTTTACACGCTCTGATCATTCACGCCTAGTGACAGATTCAACCCAAAGAAAGGCTGAGGTCGTTCCTTCTTTTAAATGAAAGCCTGCCCTCTGGTGTGAGCCTGCAGCTTAGCATGAGTACAGCCAAGAACAGACAGAAACATCAGTGCTACTTCTTGACTATGCATCCCAGAGGTCCACAGAACACCAGCAGTGCTCTGCTACTGCTGTGCGGGGAATGCACACATAAAACCTCTCCCAAGCTCATGTGCTCTGCAGCAAGAATCAAAAGGCAGCACCTCATTTCCCTCGTCCAATGAAGTGCAGACAACTCACAGATACTGGGGAATTAGTCTCTTCCATTGCCTTCTGCACACATTTGTTAGAGGTAAGGAAAAATCACAAAGTTCTCACCCACACTTGGAATTTGGAATGTTTTACCCCCCAGAAAAATTTGCAACCTTCACCATAAGGAAATGTGCAAGTTATCCAGAAATAAAAGTAACACCTACTTCCGAAGGTGCTCGTGTTCCTTCAGGAACAGCTCTGTTCTTCTGTTATTCACGCCAGACCCACTTTTATACGATCTAAATGCAAAAAACAAACATTGAAAAACATTTTCTGCAGAGGCTTTTTGTAGACATTACTGGTTCCTGTACACGTCGTGCTGTGTTGCTCTGAGATGATCAACCAGAAAAGCTTCGGTTACGCTCAAACATTTTTTAAGTGATCTGTGCTTCACAATTTTACTTCTACAAACACGATTTCATTTTCACAGTTAAAATTAGCAAGCAAAACCATCAAATACTTCTATCAGAAGCTCATGAAGAGTTGTGAACTCAAGCAACCGCTCTCATTTTGCTCAGAGTGCAGAGGATTAACCCGAGGCAAGCACACTCCTACAGGAGGTGCTGCCTTCCCCCTCCTGGCACACTCCCACAGCACTGCTGCAATATACAATGCAACTTACTCAATATCTTTTCGTACTGATCCCAACAGATTCTCCCTTTCTCTTATTGCCAGGAAATTCGCTTTGGTTTTGTGGAATTCGTGAGTGTAATCCTGCAATAAAACAATCACTCCACAGTTAGAACCCTGAGATCAAGTTTCCAAAGCAAGACACACAAATCTTGCCATCTCTGTCAATGTTAGCCCTCAGCAAAGACCACCTTATTAAATTCACATCACATTCCAAGCACACGTGAGGCTGTTGAAACCCCGACCTCATTTAGAGAAGTTTGTTTGTAAGAATGTTTTCAGACCCTGTGCCTGCAGCACATGTGAAGGGAGATGTTTTTCAATCAATCAGATTTGTTGTTTCTTTCATACTGGGCTCTCACAGAGCCTCCTCCCAGCCAACAGAAATCTGGAGTGCATCTGAGCAAGCTGCTAATAACACTAATAACTACTCCAAAGAAATGAAACACAAGAGGAACACGTGCTTGTTACCTGCAGGATGTCTCTATGACGCTGCAATGTGTGCATCAGTGCAGCATTCAGGGATGGGACTCCTGCACTGTTTGTATATTCTGCCATTTTGTCATTTATTCCAGTAAGCTGTAGGGGAAAAACAAGCAAACCAACACAAAAACCTGAAACTGTTTATTACTGTAGGAAATGTACAGTGTATAAGGTGAAAGAGTTTCCCTTATATCAGATACACACCATCAGAAACACTTCTTTACCACCCACGCTATTACTTTCTAAACACTCATCACAGGAACCTGTACTGTGATGCTTCAAAATGCTGATTTAAAAACCAGTGGTTTGTGTATTACCTTTCCCAGAAGCTGTTCAATCTCCACAGCCATGGTCTCAAACATTCTGTCCTGGCTCGACCCATTTAAGAGAGGAGTGGTGTCAGAGCTAAGGAAAAAGAAGGCAAGTTATTAAAACATACAACAACCTTGGGGAAAACAGCACCTCCCCTTGGAAGATACACCAAAGAAATGACACCAAACAAATGATTACCTCCACAACCAGAGCAAAATCAGAACATCTTGTGTGGGATGGCAAAACTAAGTAAGATAATTAGAACAAACAGCAAGTTATATATCCCAGAGCTAAGAGAGAGAATCTGACTCGAGAGCAACATGATTATTCCTGAGTTGCTCTCAGGTTTCCAGGACAGAAATTCAGTGAAAGATTCAAAAAAAATCATTTCACCCTCCAGAAACTTTATACCCAACCCACCATGGTAGAAAACCAAGAAACACTCTTAAAACCCAAAGGAATGGGCAATGAATTTGGTAATGAAAGCAACTTTTAGTCAAAAGACAAAAAGCACACAAGGCTGTAGGATACACAGGTTTGTACATATCAAGACATAACCTGAGAAGGATAGAAAGTAAATAGTGATTTGAAAAAGAATTGAAATCAACACACATACAAGCAGTAATCACTCTGATAACCGAGATGCAATGTGGGGATCCAGGATTAGCAGGCAAAGAATGGCACTTTTTAAAGATTGCACATGGGGACAAAGAAGCTGATAGCCAGGTGCTGTGGAACTGCAGAAAGGCCTCAGATAGAGTCCTTAAGCTAGAAAGAGTTGGTGAGTTTTATCATATTAATCCTCAGTCAAATACAAATCTGCCTAAATAAACCATTTCTTCAAACAAACTCTGTTATGTATACACACAAACACATACATACAGCTCTGCCCGTCCCAGTCCCTACTACAACTTACCTTAAAGGAAACCAGAAATAACAGCCACCCCTGGGGAAGGGACTGCCACAGACTGACTGCTTCACTTCCCCACTTTGTTGGTGTCCTCCCTGGGCTGGTCACTGCAGCCCCGTGCCACAATTCCCTCATCCCTGCACAGGACCACCAGCACCACGGCCACCCACCAGCGAGGTGTGAGGCTGAGCTGCCCGAGCACAAAGCATTTACTGAAGTCCCTGAGAACTGTAATGCAGGGAGAAGTGGGAAACAATGCAGGCAGCTGTACTGTGCACTAAGGAAGCCGCGTCCTTCCCTCACACACTTCCCCCACAATTGAGTGGCAGCCTCGTTCACAGCAGGAAGGCTGGAACTCGATCTTTAAGGACCCAAGCTGTGCTGATCCCATGAATTACAAACTGAAGTTTAAATACAGCTTCTCCCATTGCCCTGTGTGCTCTCACAGGCGGAACACAAACACACACCTGTCCATCTGGCACCTGAAAGAGATATTTCCCAGAGCCCAACTCCAGCACCACAAAGTAAGCTTCTTAAGCAACTGTGCATCAACACCACAGGTGGCACTGGGGACCAGCATTAAACCACTGACACGAACCAAATGCTGCAAAGAGCAAAGTAAAACGTAAAGAAACGTGTTAGTACCTATACCTGTCGCGCCGCCCGTCCCGGCTGCTGGTGCACAGCTTGCTGAAGGAGACCAGCTTCAGGTCCAGCTCGTTCTCCAGCTGCCTCGCCTGCTTCCTGAGATCTGCACGGAAGGGGGTGCGGGGGGGAGTCACACACAGCCCCAGACCGCCCGGGGAGCCCCGCGGAGCCCTCACACAGAGGCGGCCACGAGGGACGGATGAGGAGGACGGGGGCTGCGGGCCCGCAGGCCGCGCCCCACACGGCCCGAGGCCTCCCCGCCGCGGGGCTCAGCCGGGCACCGGCGCCTCACGGCTGAACGGCCGACAAGAACACCGCACCCTCCGGCTGCGAGAGAACAGAGGAGACCCGGCGGAGGCCTCGCCCTGCCCGCCTCGTGTCCCGGGAGCGCCCCGCGCCGCCCCGGCCCCACTCGCCTTCCCAGTAGTTGCTGCTCCCCGCCGCCATCTTTGTTGTCCAACGTCAGCCGCCGCCTGCCGAGAACTCCTGCCTAGAGCGCCTCCCTCCGAGCGCGGTGCCCGACGGGACGGCCGGACCTCCCAACGTAGCGCCCCCCAGCGAACGGGAGGCGCGGAGCACCGCACGCCCCCATCCCTGCGACGTCGAGAGGGCGAAGAACGAGAGAAGGCGGGCGGACATCAAAATAGTTTTATACAGGTTATTGGTATACAGGTAAAAAACGACCCGAGGGCCCAGCGCGGGGCAGCACCGGCCCTTGCCTCCCCGGGAAGGGCGCTTCGAGCCCTCGTGGAAACGTACAGCGAAGGCACAGTGCGCGTGGGGCAGACGCTTCCAAGGACAGACGGACGGATGGACAGAAAGATGGATGGGCTCCTCGGCACGCTGAGCACCACTGCGGCACAGAGAAGTCTCACACGGCTACAAAACCATGGGCCCTATCAGCCCCGCTCACCTCCCGTGTGTCGATTCCCAAGGACTTATTGCTGGGGACAGCTCTGCCCACGCGGCGCTCCAGGAGCTGCTTAAGTCACAGTCCAGCACCAAACCCAGCATGGAGCTGGGACCCCGTGTGGGCTCTGCAGGGCAGAGGCACCGAGGGGCTCATTCACACCACAGCGATGCAGGACAGCAGTGTGGACGATCACCTCCCTGTTCCCAGAGCACTGCTCCAGCCGGATCTTACTGCGTGCTTCTTGCCCTATACCAACACCACAGATGAGGGAAGAAGGTCTGCAGCCACCCAAGGGTCACCTTCAACCTTCCAGGCAGCTGCCGAGACCTTCAGCACAGCCACAGCTCCATGGCTCTGGAGAGGCATCCACCACCCGTGGGGTTCCTTGCAAGAGAGGGACCAGCAGCCTGGGACAGGGAATTTACTGCGCTGCTCCTCCAGAGCCCTCATCACACATTTGGGTGCAAACACTCCAGCACTGCCCCATGCAGATCTCAGGAGCAGATCTCCCTGGCCTGCTGGAGGCAGATCAGCTCAGGGTACGCGGGATATCCAAGGCAGTGAGTGCTCCAGGCACTGTAGAGTTCAGTCCGTTGGGAAAAAGAAATAAACAAAAAAGAATGAGCAGCAAGGAAATAAGTGCCTAATTCTAACCCCAGACTTCTGCCCAGAAAGCACGAGAACTTCAGAAATATATGAAGGCTTTGGAAATCAAATGTCTTGGGCATCCTGCCCTTCTGGGCACCCTACATTGCCCCACAGACTCAACGCAGCTGAAAGATGCACATTGCAGCTCCTCTTTCCAATTACTTCAGTGCTCCAGAAGAGAATTTGGCTGCTTTTCCCTCCAGCACAGCCACTCAGCCCTTCCTCACACCTTGCACTCAGGCCTCCACAGCACGCTGCAGACATACAAGCAGGTGGAGCTCTTGCTACGTACTTCAGGGACACTGTAGTAGCAGAACTAAGTTAGGCCAGCAGGCTAATTTGGTGCCTAGCATCACCAGAGCTTGATGAGAGACTGTTTTCCAAGTGCTCTGATCACTAAATGGTATTAAATGCACAACAGCAAAGGGTGCAGCTGCTCTTCAAAAGTCAAGACCAAAGTCAGGCCATGGATACCCTTTCCCTCTGCTACTCCAATAATGCTCAGAACAACCTCCAGTCGTGCTATCAGACACTGCACTGCTGAAACACCAACATGTCCAAAAGCCAAGCCCACATAAATGAGATGCAACCAAGTATGATGGGGACAAAATTTTCTTCCCCAGAACCAGGAACAGCAGTTCTGCAGAGCTGACAAGCTGCTGAACTTGGTCAGAATTCGCAGAAGCTCTGACATCTGCTCCTTTCTCCAGTTCACACCAAGAATTGATGTCATCTCCCCCAGCCTTCAGGACGCCATATCACCACTTGGAACTAGCAACACATTAGAGGTGCTCCACAACCACTGCAGTGTGGCTGAGCACAGCATCTCAAGGTAGGGAAAAGCTCCAAGGGAGCAGCTGAGAAGCAAGTACAGGCTGTTTCCAAGGGCTGCTCTGCAGAACGTGGAGCTGGTGATGGATCAAGGCTTCCACCACACACAGTAAGAAAAATGAAATGAAAACAGGTAGATACCACTTCAGAGTGTCGTGACTACGACCCTACACAGGTCTTGGAACACTTCCCCACCATCTGCTCACAGTGTTGAGATGCTGGGGAAGTGTTAGGAACTCTGCTGGCCAACCTGCTTAATCACCTTTCAGTCAGCGTCATGTGAACCTCCAGACCTTGCCCTAAAAACATAAGCCATGCCCTTAACCCAAACACAGCCTCTAACACCCACTGATTTGCATGTACATAGGAACAGAGCAAACAGCAGAAGGAAGTCAGGAGCTGCCACCCAAACACAGTCCTGCAAGTTAATGTCTCAAAACTGATCCGGAGGGATCAGCCCTCCCTCCCGCTGGGGCTAGTCCATGGAAACTTCCTTTCCTCTCAGGGAGGTGTCAGTGTTTGCTGGAGTACAATGTTTCTTCTTCAGTGTCTGTTTCATCCTGGAATTCGTGGCTCAAGAGGGATTTCTTGGAGCCGGTGGACATCATGCGGATTTCATCCTCGTAATCGTCGTGGTGCTGCCGCAGGCGGTGGAAGCCATCCTTGTGTCTGTTGGACTTAATTGAGCAGACACACCAGATGATACAGGCAGTGAGGATCAGAGCTGACATACTTGCACCTGCCAGAGAGAAGACACTGAATTTAATTCTATATTCCTCACCTCAGAGGCTTCTACGTTCTCCAGTATCAATCCTCCCTCACACAATCACAGCTGCTTTCCTCACTTCTGTGCCCCAGGAGGAAGGAGCTCAGTCACAGTACAGAAGCACTACATTTTCTGGGCTAGCAGTTTAAGATAACATCAGTGAGCTCCTCTGCAGTACACTGGGAACAAACTCCAGCTTCCCCAGCAGCAGCTACAATGACAGAAACATATAAATTCCTCAGTGCTTGCCCAGTGCCAGACCATGCAAAGAGGCCTAGGGAAAATGTAAGATCTGCTAAGTCCCAGCCCTATGCACATACAGGCTCTCCCCCTTCTAGCCATCTCAAGGTCCATTCAGGACCCTTCAGATCCCTGCAACATTCTCCACTTCCTCTGTCTTTATCTGCTAGCCCAGCACCACTAGAGCCAAAGGCTTTTGGACCAGTCTGCAGGGCTAAGCATGTATTCAGAAGGGAAAACACAAGGGGAAAACTCAATGCTGCAGGCTACTCTTCCAGAATTCAGTTTAAAAAGATAAAAATAAAAAAATAAAGGTTACTGTCAGCATGAACCAGCCCAGAAAACGAGGCTCAAAGCTTTGAATGAAGCTATCACTTTACCTGCAACTGTTACAACCAGCTCCCGTGGCAGACCAAATATCTTGTTTTCCATGTCAAATACAATGAACACAGAGCTGGGTGCATCATGACGTACCAAGACCTATGGAAAGATACAAGGACTCAGTCTGTCTCAATGTTTACACATCTGGTAGGTATCTAAAGAAAAAAAAGACATCTGCTGCCCAGGGCAGAACCAGGCAGATACTAAAGATAAATGCAGTGTAGGGAAAAACTGTTGCCCAGAAATAGCAGCCATGTTCAGAAATTCTTCTCCATTACCACAAGGCAGAAGACAACTATTGTAGCCAGAAGGTAAACACAGCCAACAAGATACAGCCCAGGTAAGAGCAGTTAGGGATGGATGCCTTCGTATGAAAGCAAGGGAGAGCTCCAATAGATGTCCACATACCTGCATATGCTTCTGTTGGTACCCGTCAGCTATTGCATTGATGTTATGCAAACCAGGAGCCAACAGCACATGGAAATAGCCACCTTCTTTAGTACAAACCCTCAAACCTTCATTAAGAACAATGACAGCTTTAGAAATTGCCTTGCCACTCTTGTCTTGGACAAATCCATGGACTCCCTTGTGAACCTGAAACAAAACAAAGCATTTCAAATGCCTCATGTTCCAGTCCACGTGTAAGGCATGTTTTGAACTAAAACAGGATCTAGCCTCCCCTTAAAATATAGCATGCTCTTCAGCAACCTTAACCATCACCCCACCGTGATATTCCCCTTCTCCCTTCAGAAATAAGATTATATAATACTGCAAGGGCTGCTCAGCCCACTAGAAAGAAAGGCACCCATCCCAACACTTTCACTCCCAACAAGGATTTCTGCCCCCAGACCACTGCTCACCTCCACAAGCATGCTAAGGAGAGACCTCCTGTGTTCTGCCCACAGGCCAGGGAGCTGCCCTGCACTGGGGAAGTAGCAGCAGCTGGTATAAACAGTGATCTCAGGACAGTGACCAAATGTAACGCTGAAATCCTGAAACAAAACCACCACAGTTACAAGAGACAGCATTTAAAAGGTTTCCCAGAGTGCTGCTGAAGATGGTTGAGGTTTTGCCCAAATTTAAAGACATCTCTGCAAGGAAGGAAAGCGTTGTGATGAGATGAAGTACCTTCATACTTCCCAGGTGGCTGTGCCATTCAGAGCCACGGATCACACCCCCAGGAATATTCTCATCTGTGAGAGTAAGAACACAGCAATCAGACTGATCTGCTCCTAGCAGAACCCAGCACAAGTGGTCAGGGGTTCAAAGGATTGAACTAAACCTACCGGACTTATTTGGACATCCTGGCTGGCCTAAATGCATCGACGGATGGTTGTTTGCATATACAGATGCCAAATGCTTCAGTGTTTCTTTGTTCTCCACTACAAACAGAAAGGTGAGACATTAGGAATGCAGCTCCTATTGAGTGGGGGAAGATATTCCTATTCTAACCCCATGATAAAACAGTCACACGTGTTGCTTCAGAGGGATTTCAGACTGAAATATTGTTCCGAAAACAGAAACAGTAAACGTTCTGACTCCAAGGTGAATCCTGTCAGGGTGCTGAGCTTTGCTTTACAGACTGCCAGCAGTTCTCCAGAACCAAGGGGTTAAAGCCAAAAGGAGGCTACAGCACACCATCAGCACAAAAAAAGGACAAGCTCTTTCACCATGCAGCCACGTGACTGGCCAGAGCCTAACTGCACTGAAGACCCTGGAGGAGTCAGTCATACCTGTCTGCACTGGTTTATCATAG